CAACGCAGCCCCATTTTCCTGCAGGTTCGCTTCTGCAGGTGACAGGTGGATGTAATTTAAATTTGAAATAGCCAATAGCAGGCTGGCTATTGAAACCCCACCCACTGAGCATAGGAGCGAACCTGAGAGAGAAAGTGGTCTCTCAGGTACACTCCTCTGCTCAGTGGGCGGGTGCAATAGCCAGCCTGCTATTGGCTTTTGCAATTTGAAATAGACAGGGGGCGCATGGTCAAGGCTACGCCCTAGGTAGCACCGGCCCTGAGTGTATGGTTGGCAGTCAGCTTCCAAAGCTGGTGGATATGGACTTGTAATATCCTAGACTGGCATTTTCAGGGTACCATTCAGGCTTCTAGCTCCTTCCTTGCCATCTGTGGTCAATTTAAAAAATGTTAACTGAAGTTAGGCTACATTCACCCACTGTGTGATGCAGCAGGAATCCAAAATCTCCTGTTCAGATGCGGCCACTGTCGCAGGAATCCAAAATCTCCTGTTTAGATGCGGCCACTGTCGCCCGTTCGAGTTAATGACCAAGTGACAGAACCAACATTTATGTTGTAATTGCGTATATGTGATACAATTACATATGGTTTGGAATAGATCACTGTCCCTTGACACATGATCGATGCATCCAGGGGCAGCGATGCATGTAAAGAAGAAACTAACGCTTTTTACCCCCACAATGCTTATGTGCATGACGATCTTGCAGTAAGTGTAAACCCAACCACTAAAATCTACTACACGCTTTAAAATACTGATGTAATTTAAACTGTTTTAAATCTGCAACTTTAATTAAATGAATACTTTGTGATCCTGCCATAAAGGTCCTTTATTAGACACTTCCTGTTATAAGTGATGCATTGTCACCCACTCTCCAATCAGAAAATACACACTGCTACTGATGAACATTATACAGATACGTTCCATTTTTGTAACCATCATGAAATAGTTCTATGAAATAGCAAGTGCATATAGACAGGAAGTGGCTGCAGGAGATCAGTATCCCTGAGATAGAACATAGACTGAAAAAGGTGAAAATAAATGGCATCTGCTTATGATACACAATGCTATAGCAAGCTAAATGGAAACCTGGGCTGAGATAAATATTTAGGCTGCCACTGTTGACTTCCTGTCAGACAGGAAACTAGCATTTTCAGGAGGTGGTCAGCAATGGCCACCTATGTAGTGTTACAATAAAGAGGGCAGTGCACATGGCAACACCTAGATAGCAGGGACATGCGGTCAGGGAGGCAGGGTCTCACCTAGTATTATGAAGAAAAAAGGTGTCAGCTTCAAGTCTGAAGCTGACAGCTTTTTCTCCATTTAGACTGGCATGTAACAGGTTAAACAGTAGGGAAAGCCTCCCCGCTGTGTAACCTGTCATGGACGGAGCGCTGCCTGTAATTAACATCCAGCTTTTGACAGGTAGCTATGTTACACAGCAGCGGGCTTCCCCACTGCGTGTGTAACCTAACTTGGTGAGGCAAGAGCTGTCACAGCCTCTATTCTGTGTTAGAGGCCTGAGCTCTGTGGATGGCTTGGGCCAATAGCAAAGCGCCATTGGTCCAAGCTGTCCAATCAAAAAAAAATAAAAATAAAAAACAGTTAGGACATCGATCTCGATGCCTCACCAGTGACGAGCAAGTGAGGGACAGGGAGGCTCCTCTCAGTCTCCTCCCTTCCTCCTCCCCACACAGGTTGGTTACCAAGCTGGGGGTGGAGCTTTGGCGGGGCCGGGGCGGAGCTTGGGCGGGCTAGGGGATTCCTCACCCAGCACAGAAGACACAGCACTTCACTGCTAGATAGTGTGTCTCCATCTTTCCTGGAAATCGGCTTTATGCAGGAAGCGCCTTATTCAACGTACTTGTAGTGGAGACGGAGACCAGTGGACTGTATGCCCATTCACCATCGTATGTTGTAACTTTCAGTCTGAATCTGTAGGTGGTGATAGGTTCCAATCCTTCCACAACATGTTTCCGGGAATATCCCCTGAAAAAGTTAAATACACATTGATAATGCAATGTTAAAAAAAAGAAAGAAAATCACCGCAATGAAAAGGTTATAAAGGCTGATAAACAAATATTGACATGTAGAACATTTCAGCTGCTGCCAACACAACCAATCACTACTCAAATTATATTCTTTTAGTAACGTTGGTTAACAAGGATAGATGGCAGGTAGGTAATAGAAGAAAATCCAGCCAGCAAAAAAATACAACAAAAACCTTTGAAGTGAATTAGATTTGGCCCAATACATTTCTAAGATAACAGTGCTAAAGTACCCCAAACACTTCCCGGAGGAGCCACGTTTGAATCCCAGCTCTAGTCTGTGCATGGGGCCTCAAATTCTAGCAAGATTTATCTCTGTCCCCTGCTGGGACTAAGCCCACTGCAGTGCCATTCAAGTGTCAACTGCCTACTAAAGTTCTGGCATTTGATAACTGAAAGATAAGGGTCAGGGCCTAATCATGTTTTGGGCAGAAATTGAGGCTTAATATACAGTCTGAGCCTTAAATACAAGGGGTTCTGCAGAAACACAGGATCAGTTTGAAGACCAACACAGGTTCTTAGCCAAATCTGAGCTTGTATAGTGGCAAGCTCTAATCTACATCTCTTATATTTGTAACTATGAAAATATCAAAAGCTCATTGGTTGCACTTCCTTGCTTTCCTGAAGACCAACACAGGTTCTTAGCCAGATATGAGCTTGTACAATGGCAAGCTCTAATCTATAGCTCTTATATTTGTAATTATAAGGATACCAATAGCTCATCGGATGAACTTCCATGCTTGCCTGAAGACCAACACAGGTTCTTAGCCAGATCATGTTAATTGATTAACTTCCAAGGTCTCCTGAAGACCAACAGAGATTCTTAGCCAGGTCATGTTAATCCGTGAACTTCCATGCTTTCCTGTATCCTAGATTTGAGCTTGTATACTGGCAAGCATGATCTACAGCTCTGACACTTATCTGTAAAAATCAATAGGTCATTAGTTACAAATTTCCAATTCAGACAACAGCCTAACCCCTCCAACTTTACAAACCAAACACCGTCTTGCTTCCAACTGGTAAAGTCAATACACAAGCTGACTGCCACATGATCTTAGAAAAAAAAAAACTGCAGAAATCACACATTAGGAATGATGACAGCCTGTGAAAATTAACAGTAAACATTATGCTGTGATAACGGAGCATACAGGAGGTACAGTCTGCGTATCTCTTCTAATAATATGGAAGAAATATATTTAAGACAAGGAGGTTGATCCACTAAGCTGTTGTAACACTCAACTTCAGATGACCGTGGGTCGGACGGACTCTCACCCGCAGCCCCGAGCTCAGCGGCTCCTGTCTCCAGCTCTCCCCGCCGCTCTGTGATGTCTGCACCGCGTGGAGCTGCCGGGTAGTGCGCACTGTGTATCTTCTTAAAAGGTACAGTACACAGCAATTAAGGAACTACACCGCCCCTGGAGAGTTTGCCTCGTAGTGCCTGAGCTCATCAGTTATCATAGTGCGTTTCTTGTGTACCGAACCTTGCAACTTTCAGACCACGAACCTTGCTGCCGGCCCCTGACCCCTGCTACCCTCACGGACTACAACTTTGGATTTCGAATTGGCTACAATGAACCGGACCGCTTCTGTGCTGGACACCACTACATGAGAGACCGTGCATTACCCGGGTCTGCTCGTGTGGAGGTACCAATTGTATTGGCAAGTCCCCTGCATCTGGGCTCCTACAGACTACTTCCTGATAGCTGTACAAGTTATTTCAGTTGTATAGCTGCCCTTTCATCCCACAATAATCTTCTCAGCAAAACATTCAGTATACCAAAATAATACTGCAAACATATATACTATAAAAATAAAGAATCATGCATGTAGAGTCATCTGATCCGTGCAATTTAGACCTGTAAATGTAACATTTTCATTTGTGAATATTTAATGGAAACTCTGCATGCTTGATGCTTTAGTGACCTGAGCCTTCCTTGTAAACTTTGTGTCACCATGCTGCCTGTTTGTATGGTGGTACTTCGAGGTAAGATTGTGAAAAAGACTGGCTCTGACTCCATTTTCCTGGGATGCGAGTATCTCTGTGTACAGTAGATATGGTTATGCATAGTGAAAGTGAAATCTGTCTGATATGGTATATGATTTTACGTAGAGTACCATGGAAAAAGTTGTATGGAAAATAACTATATTGAATCAGTTGTTTCCCCACACGAGTACTTGGCACAGAGGCTACTGGCACAGGAAAGGGGAGTATGCAAATATGGGGTGAAGCAGAATGAAGGATGTTCAAGTTAGAGAGGCCATTAGATTGGCCATTATTACCCATGCCAACAGCTTATGTCCTGATAAATCTCTCTTCTAACTGCTGCTCACTATCTGAACATACAGAAATCAGGGACAATAAAAGACCTGGATATGGGCAAATTTATGTTTGGCATTTTCTGCTCTCAATGGTGGCACATCCTCAGGCCTCAAGATCATTAAAGGAGAACTATGAGGTGTGATTTCCACTCATCTGCATAGTTAGTGCCTACCTGTGACAAAGAAGCTGTCACAGGTCGGCTCTATTGATCAGGAAGTGAGCGAACACATATATCCTCCAGCGCTGAGTGGAGGAACGGATAGGGAGGGGGCGGGCACAGCTGGCTCTGCCTCCAGATAGCCTTTGTATATCTTTACCGGGTGGGAACTAGACAGATGACTCACTCATTGACCTTTTTAGATCTTTAGGGGAATTTAAATTGGCAAGCATGAGAAATCTAGGAATTCTGCCGAGAATATTTAACAACCATGCAAAATTTCTGCAGTGCTGGATTTTATTTCACTGCTGTCCAATAAATTAAATAAATTATATACACGCACACGGTGGTTAAAAAAGCTCCCCAAGCACTGCAATATATTATAGCAATATATCACAACACAAGGCAATGCACCTTCATGTTGCACAGCAGGACCCACACGTTATGTGCTATGCTTTGACAAACACTGTGCTATGAACCGGTTCTCACTCCTATTCCCAGAAGTCTTCTTAGAACTTATCAAATTACAGGCAACCCCTGTAATAAATGTTTCATACTCAAACGGAAGTGCCCATGTAGGGCCAACTTTGTAGCAGCTTTTACTCTCTTTGCACATATTTTCTGGAAATATGCAGCTGTGTGACTTTGAAGCTACAAATCTTTGGGGTGGCATGATTGCTGGTGCATCTATTGGATAGCACAAGTAGGTACCGTAGCTGGGAATTCTAGCGCCAAATGCTGCAAAAATTCACTCAGTGACTTGAGTGTCAAATTGCTGCAAGACCTTTCCAAGACAGCAGTGCATCTTTTCCTAGCCACAAAATGCTAAGCTTTGCCATTATTTTGCTGCTACAAATTAGTGCCCAAAAATTGGGAGCCAAAAGAGAGATTGGCAGAGGGGGGCGGTGGACACTGAACAGTTGGCAAAGTGGATGAGTCTGGCAGCAGCGTTCATAATAGACTGAAGGGGGGATAGACTGTGTAGTAGTAGTAGGCCAGCAAGAAGGGAGTCACAGAGGCCAAGGCGAGAGATTACAAGGGAGTGAATTAGAAGCCCTGCGGAGTCGTTTGTTAAAGAGGGGCGAGTTTTGGAAATGTTGCAGAGGTTGAGTGGCAATATTTAAATAGTGATTGTATGTGGGGCTGAAAGCAGAGTTCAGAATCAAGGATTACACAGAGCACCCTGGCTTGAGGGGAGGGGTTCATTGTAGACCTGTTAATTCCCCATACCAACTGTTGAGCAGCGGCACTCTACACTCGAGTTTTTGCTAGGGATGCACTGATACCAGTAGTTCGGTAGAGTACCGAATTTTTTTTTATCGCCGATACCGAATACCGAAAGTCCCAGTCAGGAAGCGAGGCGGGAGTAGAATGACTAGCCGGGAAACCTGGCAGCGTGTAAAGACACGCCACTTGGCTTCCCGATTAGCGGAAGCCATCCCCATGCTTCTTGTCACTAGGTGCCAATCAGGAAGCCGGGCACTGTGTAATGATGCGGCGCCCGGCTTCCTGATTGGCCCAGGAAGCCGGCTCATTGCTCCCTTGTCATGAGGTGACGAGGGAGCATGATGCCGGCTTCCCAACCAATCAGAAAGCCAGGCGCCGCGTCATTAGACGGTGCCTGGCTTCCCGATTGGTCGGGAAGCCGGCTCCATGCTCTCTCGTCACTTGTGATTAAGTCAGGACGACGGGCAGAGTGCAATGACGCGCTGCCCGGCTTCCTAATAACAGAAGTATCGGGGTAGGCATAAAATATTTTGCACCCATACCAGCATCGGTACATCCCTAGTTTCTACAAACTGGCCCTTTCGTGGTCTTGCCTATCCCAACCAAACTTTACCTTAAATCATTTTTTTTTAAAATTATTACGTTTTAAATACCATCGCTGTCAGCAGTAAACTGTTTGCTATTGGCGTTGCATTCAATTTTCTCTCTTTAAACCCGAGCGCCTATGTATTTTTCAGCACAAAATCAGCACCACGCACGGATTTCAATTTTGAAATTAAAATTCACCTGAATTCCTCCGGCTTTGCAGCCTACGTGAAATAAATGGTCTAATGAAATATTTACAGTGCTCGCAGAAGCTGCCAAGGGCCTAGTGTCATCGGGTGCAACAAAACATAGCAGCAGCTTTGTTTGCAGCTTCATCATCTTTAATCAAAAATTATTTTCCAACAATACTTTGTGAAATGTTCTCTGCCTTCAAGTATTAAAACCTGTAGCGTGAAAAAATCAGACGGTCTCTGGAGATGTGATGGCGGCATTAACAATGTAAGTCTGCCACCTAGTGGTGCACGTGGGCGCTCCTCTGGCGCGCAGTCATCTAATCTCATTAGACAATGGTTACAATGCAGAGGTGAACCAAGCCGGAGAATAATCTATATTCAAATATTCACAGCGAAAGAAAAAAAAAAGTCACAAGCTGGATTAATATTTTTATCCTAGCAGTTACTAAAGGTTCAAC